CATCCGGGACAAAAAAACTTCAGTCCGATTGGCGAAAGGGCAGATCATTGGACTTTCAATAACTTTCAAGAAAGGCAGGCCAAAAGTAGTTAGGAAAGCCAGGAATAATAATATGCCACTTTTAGAAAAAGTGGGAAAAAGAGGCATTTCTCTCCTGTGAAATTTTACCAGTAACTCATATGGTAAAGAGTATTGTTTGAGAGAAAGTGTTGCTACATGACTATTGAACATGGCTTTAATAATAAATTGTGGTGAAGACAGAACCGGTTAATATCCTTTGAAGGAAATGGGAGCTTTTTGTGGCAAGAAACCATTTATTTTGGATTATATAAAAAGTTTTTGACTGCAGTGAAAAGTGTGGAGACTGGAGAATGGGATTGTTCTCCAGAAGTAAAAGCTTATTTGCTGTTATAGCATATGTGGGTAGTGAATTCCTCTGTCTTCCCTTTCTTTATTATTCTCTGTTACGTTTCCTACAGTTTTTTCAGTGAAACTTTGAAGTTTCCTCTGTTAATACTGATATTTAGCATTGGTCTAATTGAAATGGGCTAGCGACATTAATCTCCATGTACAATCTGTCAGTGGCAGTGGAAAGAGGTTAATAAGCCTATTGCAAGCTGTAGTTTTCTCTCTTCCCTCAGGAATTGGGTTTAAGACCTTCACAAGGAAGTGTTTAATGTGTTTTTGCTAAGTCAGTTTTTCTTTCTCCTATTACAATTCTGCCTTTAGAGCTCATTTTATTCAGCATTGACTTCCCTGGACTGGTGTAGTAAATGCCCGTTTTTGGGGCACATAATGCGTGTAGCTGCCGCACAGAAAATTGCAGTGATATTGTAACTAACACCTCGGATTAGTACCGTCCTCCTCATTGCACTTTTCTATTAAGCACTGAGCTTTTTTAAAGGTGGCATCTTCTCTAGCTCCACTCAGTTCAGTACTTGCTGTGGGCAATTGCTTTGCTAAGCGAGGGTAGATTTAAGCTTGTTTTTAAAGTCAAGGACACCCTGAATGTTTTACTGAATCAGAACTTAGTTCTGAAGCTGTTTCTCTGCCTTGCTCAAAGCCATTCTCTTTTTCCTCAATTATCCTGAAAACCTGGCTTTTGGAGTCGAGTGTTTATGAAAGTCCCTGTGCGGGAAATTGTAGCGACAAGCTCTAAAATGAGCTTTAGCTCGTGGGCTCGGAGACCAGAAGGCCACCAGTGGTTGTTTATGCCAGAAACACATGTTTTTTGGATGCCTGGAAGCAGGTGTGTGATCACATCTGCGGATTAGCCAGGACTGCGAGCCTTGTGCGGAAGGAGGCACGTTTCGGCTTCGTTCTTTGTACGACGGCACCCGTGGGCTTGCTTTCTTGCAAACAAGGAGTTGCAGTGAACCCCTCAAACTACTGATGCTCCAGGTCTGGTGGGTTTGTGCGTTGTGGTAGGTGTATTTTGGTGTCCACGAAGCCTGAATGCCACTTGGAGCTTTAGCACAACTCGTACGTGGATGCCTGGTGTCCGGCGTGGGCCGTTTTTGTGCTTCAGCCTTTCTCTGAGTTGTGGGACGTCTTTCTTTAGTCATCTGTTTTTATGTGATCTGCGCTCTCTCTGTTTCTCCGCCAGCTTTGGTTGAAATTGGCCAGTGGATCTAAAGTTATTGTGAGGAACCCAGGCTGACAAATGCGCCCACATGGTGATTTTCTTCAGCAAACAAAGCTAAAAATAATAACGATTCATAAAAATATGAAGAAATATACTGTTTTTCTCGTGAATGGAGTAGGCAACATCAAATTTAGTGTGTTATTGATAATTGTCTGAAAGTGAGGTGCCTCCACACTTTGAGCTCCTGTACAAATGGCTTCCCGCTCCAAGTTGCAATTTTAATACAGCGTATTCTCCCAAAGCCTACGTCTTCTCTGTTAAACTGAAGGCTTTTTATTTTGACAGAAAGATACTTGCTTGGCAGTTGTTACTGAAGAAGACAGATCTTGGGACTTCCAATTAAACAAAGATAATAAACCACTCCAAGCGTCAGTGCTTGAGCTGGGGGGGAAGCTCCTTCCGGGGAGGGCGAGCTGGCGCGGGAGCCTCGGTGCGGGCGCAGGGTGCTGGCTCGCGCGTGTGCAGCAGATGCCCGTCGCTGCCTCCGTTGCCTGGGGTCTGCTGTTGTGCCTTTCCCATGTATTTTTTTATTTGGAGTGAATTTAGTGCTGGAAAAGGGGCAGCGTGTTCTGTATCATTACCGCGGGTGTGTTTGCACGTAGGTGTCCGGGATTTCACGCAGGGATGCAGCGAGACGCGGTCCCTCTGGAAGCAGGTTGCGCGCCTCTCCACGTCTCCTGTCCTGCCGAAAGAGGCTCCCTCACCGTCCGCTCAGGCTAAATCTCTAATCTGCAAAAAAATGTGTTTTTCTTGCTAACCTGTATGCAGGGAGAACTGGCATCTGGAGAAATGTGGCCACTGGAGTTCATACTCCTGGCCCCTCTGCTTGTCCTCTGGGGTGCCTCGTTGCTCTCCTCCGGCTCCCCTGGATTTGCAGTGCATGGTTTTTGGACAGGGATTGTTTTTTGGAGTGGCTGGGGAGCCTCAGCTGAGGTCTCTCCTGGAGCCAATTCAGCGGGGGGCACCTGGGAGCAGATGCAGGTCCCAGGTAGCCCAGACCCGGCCCTTTGCTCAGCGGTGATGGTGACTGCATGGTGCTTTGGATTTTAAGGCGGTGTCATGTTAGTGCTGCAGGTGTGAGTGCCTGCTGCGGTAATTCCAGTTTGCAATTCCTCCTCCTGGTGCTATCATGAAACCCGTGTTTTCTTCTTGTCATTATTGTTGCTTTCTTCTTTCTTGAAAAGAAAACCCCAAAGCACGTTAAACTGTGCCTGTGTCTTGGCAACTTGAGTGTGTGAACAGATTGTGCTTCAAAAAAATGGCAAAGTTTCAAAATATTGTATTCTGTTAAGACGAGATAAGGAAAATAAACTCTCCAAAGTGCAGATTTGATTTCACCAAAAGGCGGAAGGCTTTTAATATTTATTTGAGTTTGGCATTTTGCTACCTGGTTCTTCTGCTGACACCACTTGTGAACCATGATAAGATCAAATGCGGCACAATCTGTTCTGGTTCGTGTTCAAATTAGGTTAATTTCCAGCAGGTTCGTTTTCACCCTCCCAGAACTGCCTGCAAGCAGGTTCCTGAGACACGGGTGCAGCATGTGTGATCCTGCAAGCACATCCACAGCCAAGGGGGAGCGGGGCTGTCAGAGGATGGAGGCAAGTTTTTGGAAGCGGAAGAGGTCACTGGGATGACAGGCTTGGAGACTGCCAAAGAAATTGGATTTTTCTTTGTTTGTTTGCATGGCAAGGCCTGTATTTTTGAGTTTTTTTTTTTTTTTTTGGTACAACAAGAATGCTACTACCAATTTCGTGTCCTGCTGGACACAACGTGCACTTGACCAGCAGCTTGGGCGGGAGCAGTAGCTGGAGCATCTAGCACAGCAGGGCTTGATTCTCGGTTCTGCCTTTTGCAGACCTTTGTAATACAGTTAAGAAAGTAGCTAGAAATAAAAGGATCAAATGAGCAGCTCTGCTAACTGTAGAAATTCCTCCACTTGTTCTTACAATTATTTTTGCTTCCCTGTAGACCAGCTTCCACCTCTTGGGAAATTTGAGAGCTGTTCCTCATGCCCTTGCGTAATACTACTTCTTTAAGCTTTGTAATTGGCCTTTTCTCTGTTAGACTGGAAACTCCTTGGAGCAGAGAACTGACTTTTTTCATCCTATGCAAGTCTGCAGCTCTGTAGATGTCTGACAACAGCAGCGAGTGCGAACAGTAGTTTCCAATAAATGCTTTTCCCACGAGGTGTCAGCTGGATTGTAGCAGCCTGCCCCATGCTGGAATTATTCCTTGCCAAGCAGAGCGAGCGTGATCTCGTCTCTTGGAGCAGACAAGAAAAGAAGACTGGCAATCTGAATTGACTAATTGCTTCAAAAAAGGTCATTTTCAGTTCTGGGTGCTTGTGCTTTGATCTAGCAGCCCTGCAGCACTGGGATGTGCAGACATCTATCGACCTCAGGTTGTGTCAGGAAGAAAAACAAACTCAAACACGCATAGGTAAAATTTGAAAGAGAGTGTTGGGAACAGAAAGTAGAAACCAAGCTTAAAAGAAAGGCAGTAATTGATACAAATTGTTAAGTTAAAAATGTTTAAAGTCTAAATTAGACGCCTGTGCTTTTTTGGGGACCACAGATTTTATTACATACCCAAACAGCCAGATGTTTACCTTGGGGTTTTGATGACATGACTTATGTTTCAGGTTATTTTATCCATGAATTCAAAACCTCGTGCTGAAATGTGGCTGTATATGTTTAGTCATAAAAAGGTTCTTGTATTTCTCTGGTCTGCCTGGCTCTTACATCTGCCGACTTGGACCCCATTTACAGGAGAGCTGCTTGAGTTTTTTCCAGCTCAGAAAAGCTTGGCTGGTCAGTGTGAACAGAAACAAATGGGTTGGAAGCCTAAAAACTTAATTCTGCTTTATTTTTCATGGGTTTGTCCAGCTTTAATGACCAAGAGGTGAAATAGCAGTTTAAACAGAATCAGAATCTAGTTCTGGACTTTCAGATTCAATTTTAAAAGATGTTAAATCCTGCCAGAGTTCACACTTGCATATCTGGAATGGCTTAAAATCTGTCTAAGAAACAGTCTAAGGGATCCTACGTGGGTAGGGCTGACGAAGGAGAAATACCTTTCTCTTTGCAGTTTCACAGGGCCTGCCTTTGCCAGAGCTCTTGCCTGTTTTCTGTACCAAGTTGGCAGCCAGACCTTGCAGGTCTAAATGAAGCATTACTGAACAAAGGCACTTTATGTTTTGAACTCTGTGCCCTGAGTCTACACCACTAGTCTGGCCTGGCATTTATGTTAAATAAGGTCAACAAATACAGGCAAGCTGTATTTTGCAAACTAAAACCAAAAAAGAAAAAAAAAAAAAGCCTTTCTTTAAGTCTGCCTCCTTCTTGTTTCACAGGCAAGAAGAGAAACCCTGGGCTGAAAATTCCTAAAGAAGCATTTGAGCAACCACAGACAAGCTCCACGTAAGTCTCCAAATGCTGAGGGAGAATAAAAGGAAAACCACGAGCCCCAGCTGCCTTCCAGAGTTTGCTATAGCGCTTGCGTCGCGGCAGCCGGCGGGCGGGCGGGCGTGCGGCGGGCCCGCCATCCTATCCCAGCTTGGAGGTCTGGGATGACTGAGACCCATCACGAGGAACAGAGGCAAATCTGCCGAGATTAATTTTGGCACTGTTAGGAAAGTTCACAGTTAATATAATAAACAGGAGATTTAGTCCCCCCTGCCTGCCAGTATCTGTCCTCTGCTTCCTCCAAGCGCTGGCAAAGTCAGTGTTTGCAGCCTGGTACCCTGATGATAAGCCTGGGACTACAAATTCCCCTCTGCCTTCATCAGATCTGGAGCTCTCTGGGCTGGGGCCCTTCCGGCAGTTAAAGTGCCTTTAACTCCAGAGAGGTCTTTCACCAAGGGAGATGCTCCCTTTCCAGGGCACCAAGTTTCATCCTTCAGATTTTGAGCCTTTTTTCTGGACTCTCAGCCCTTCTTGCGCAGTTCCTGCTGGGACACTGAGTTGTTTTCTGGGTCCTGGACCTCTTTCTCTCCCAGAAAAACAGCCCTAGAAACACAGCTCCAGATACAAGGCGGTCTCTCCCCGTCCTTTGCGCCGGCTCCCTTTCGTTACCGTTTGACCCTCTGCTGGGCTCCCTCCTCTACCGGCCAACGCTGAAAGGCTTCAGATAGTTTTCCAAGGTGGGGCTGGAATGCAGCAGAGCAGCAGACACCCAGCGCGGTCCTGTGCGGTGGCATCTGGGCAAGAGAGGTGCTGGCGGCAGCAGCTTGTGGGGAGGCTGGGCCGGTGCTGGGCTCAGCAAACGGCTTCGCTGAGCAAGCAGGAGTCTTGCTCACTTCGGGGAAAGGACAGAGTAAGCTTTTCCCAACTCGTTATGTTGCCCACCGATTAGTTATTATGGTAATCCTCTTATCTTGCTGAGTTTCAGCGGCCAATGCCTGCGTTAGGAGATCTGGTTTCCATCCTGCTATCACCTGAAAAGCGAGAGTGGCGCTAGGAAAGCCAGTCTCAAGACAGAAACATCAAATGGCCCCTATTGCCATTCGGTGTGGAGGAGCTGATGATAGCTGAGCTCCTCTTGCTACTCTTTTCATCAGTTTGGAGGTGGGGGGAGATGTCACTCTGCACCCCCTTAGAGCTGGGCCAGAGGGGGTTTGGACAGAGCAGCCCTTTCCTGCAGCACCTGCATGACCTGGTGGCAGCAGTGGCCAGGGCTGTGCCACCCTGGCTCGGGAGGTTGGTAGCACTCGTCACCACCTGTCACCACTTGCCTGTCTGTTTGCACTGGCAGAGCAGCCCAGCCTAATGGGAATAAACCCACATACCCAATGCTATGACAAACCACTGCCCCAGCCCTGCCCTTGGCCACCTTCTGCTCTTCTGCTGGCCTCTGGCTGCTGACAAGTCAGAGAGCCGGTAGGATCAGGGAGGACAGAGTGGCCAAAGCTGAAGCAGAGTCACGTCTCCTGGAAGGGTGAAAATCAAGTTGGCTGCCCTGGCGGTCAGTGAGAGAGTGATTTTGCTTTCTGCTGAAGATGACCCTTATTTTCCTTTTTTCCTGAGTGATCTGAAGCAGCTGTTGCCAGTAAATTGCACTTTCTTCTTGGACTTCTCCGGCGGTCTTGTGAAGTCAACAGATGTCAGAGCTCACATCTGCTAAGATGCGGGGACTACTCACAGCCTTGTTCCATCTGTCCTCATGTGGGAATAATTTTAGGACAATTACCCTGTTCCAGAAATAAATTAGCAAAAGCCAGTTGTTCCTCATCCTTCCCTCCTACATTCCCAGCTAAATTGACAGCCGTTTGGCACATGCCATTGCCATGGCTAGGAGGAGGCCACGGTCTCTCTTTTCCAGGTCGATTGGGTAGAGATGTTTCAGGGAAGGTAGGCCGTTAACCTGTCTGCTTAAGTCAGGTAATCAGCAGTCTCATGGGCTATCAATCCATATGCTCCTGGACACATGCTGACCACAAGCACAGAGAACAGGGTTGAAACCTGCCAGATGTGTCCAGGTTGGAGCGCTGCAGCCCTGCGTCCGTGAGGAGCACTTACCTTGGCTGGCATGAACGCTCGTCTGTCCAGGGCTGGAGCAGAAGAGATCCGTGAGCATCAGAAAGCAATGTGCAAAAGAAAAACTATTCCGAATCTCCCTTGGCCTATTAAGAAACGGTATCCCAATATAAACAGCGGCAATCTTAAAGCAAAGCATAGGACTTAAATGAATCTCTTTTTTTTTAAACTTAGATGCTTTTGAAAAACATTCCCGTATCTTATGAAAAAAAAGGACAGGGCTTGGTTTTTGACCTGTAATCAATTTTTTATACAGGCTGACAGAGACTGGGTTCTTTCCGCCTCACTTTCCTTCCACAGGAACCAGTTGCGATCTCAGCCCGTTGAAGGCACTAATCTCCCTGTGTCGCTTTGTGTGGGAGTTGGATGCAGATGTGTGAAATTCCAGCCCCAGCAGCTTCCTTCCCTTCTGACCCCTTTCTGAGGGGACGTTGTGAATTTTGGCAGTGTCTACCGATCCTGCAAAGCTAGGAGACCTGCTGGGGCGAGGGGATAGCCTTGGGGACTCCGTGTCCGTGATAGTTACTCTTTGAGGGAAAATTAATCTTTGTAAGGAGCAGTTTACATATTTTCCCTTTTCTCTCCTGCAGGCCACCCAGAGATCTAGACTCCAAAGCCTGCATCTCTATTGGCGAGGAGGTAAGGTTAGGAGTTACAGTGAGCAGAAGACTGTTGGGGGAAGGAGACCATCCTTGCCTAGCTGCTGTGGCACTGGGTGCTTCTCCAGATGGGCTTCTCAGGGGATTGCTTCCCACCTAAAAATCAGATAAAAAGGAGCAGGTTAATAAACATCGGCTGTCTAAAAAATGTGGCATATTTTGCATGAAATGGGGGGCTCGGCCAGCAGATGAGAGGGCGCCAGGTCTTCTGCAGGTTCTGGGAGTGCAGCTGCAAGAGTCATGTAAGCAAGTCCTCCAGTGAAGAACGTTGCCCCAGTGACTCCCATTTGTCCCCCACTAGGGATAAATGAGTGTAACGAGCTTTGAGCCACCTTTGCCTGGATCTTACGTAACACCCTGGCACCACTTGCTCAATGTTACCAATAGCACGGCGCAGTTGGGGGTACAGTGCTGCTTGCTAAGCCCTGCACCGCGTGAAAAGCTTTAGCCTTGCTTCGCTCTGAATGCAGAGGATCTGGGAAGAGTAAGAGCTAAGAAGACGCAGCCGGGGAGTTTGCTTTTCCGTGTTCGCGCGAGCCCTGACAGCCCCCTCCAGCTGCTGGAGTGTCTCCTCTGGTTTTAGCCCTGGCCTGGGGCCACGGTTGGCAGGCGCTGCTGCAAAAACAGGCGTCCCTCAGCTGGAGCGCTAGCCGAGGGAGCGCTTGGCTGGCCGACCGGCTGCGCTGAGCCCGCAGAGCTGCCCGGCTTAACCCCAAGCTGCTTCTGCTAAGGGACAGGCAGTGAAATGCAGGTTGCAGTTTGTTTGGTTTTTTGCCCCCCCCCGCAGCACTCTGGGTAGCTTTCCCTAGCACCGGCAATCACGTACAGCCTGGGCTCCGGCGCTCCCCCGAGGTCGGGCGCAAGCCTGCTGCTGCCGCCGAGCGGGGCCCTGGCGGGAATCGCCTTTTTGCATTTTCGTCATTAGGAAGCTTGGGAAGGTCTGTCTGGGTCTCCTTGTGCTCACCCCTTGTATTTCTGGACAGGGCACTGGGGTCCCTTCACGTTTTCCGCTGCGAACGCACTTTGTTGAGTGAGACGGAGCACAGGGCAGATGGAGGGCTTTTCTAAACCCACCTCAGGCCCTGCTCACGTGCTTCCAATACCTCACGGTTATGACCCAAGACCGCATGCTGTTTTCAAAGAGCCTTGGCCAAATCTCCTTCAACATAGCTACGTGGGGGAGAAAGGGGTCCCTCAGTCCTTCTGCAATCACTGAGATTGCTGGAATTGGTCACGTACAGCATTACAGTTGGTGCCTATGTATGTACAGCCTTTGCTATATTTTTTATACATAAAAACCAGGCACTCTCTTCATTTCGGGAAGAAAACCCAGACGTTTTGCCCTCCTTTTTTTCAAGCAAAAAAAAAAAAAAGCTGATGAGAATACAGGTTCATTTGAGTTTTGGAAATTCCTGCCTTGCCTCAATGAGGTGCAGCTAATCCCCTGGAAACATGAATTACAAAACAACAGGATTGCTAACTGCAGATTTGACTTTCCTTTTCAATTCCTTTGCTGATTTAAAGCCTTTATGCAAAGTATTTCCCCTTGCTAATGTTGAAGGCCTTCTCATCAGGAGTCTAACTCAGGGTAGCTCTTCCTGTCCTGGAAGCAAATCCTTGTGACAGCATGGAAACCCTTCCATCTGATGTTTCAAAAATACAGCAGAAAAAAAGCAAAACCAAGGACAACTATTTTGATAGGAGAAAGTGGCACAGCAACATTCATGAAAGCACGTTAAAGCTAGGCAATAAATTTATTAGGTGCAAAAGATAGGCCTCGGTGTCAGTGGGTTAATTTATGAAGTGAAATACGAAGCCAGTGGCATTTTATAATGTCTATCTTTGGATGCTTTTCTTTCATTTTGGAGTTTGTATTTTTC